CCCCGAGCCAAGGACTAACCCACCACATTAGTGAAATAGCAGATGTTACTCTTTTCCAGAAGACCCTCATCACCAGCAAAACTGCATGTTTTTTGAGCCATTGATTAGCAACAGCATCAGTTTAGATCCCATTTTCATAAGTATTATTTGAGATTTTTTCTGCTAGATCTGTGCAGCTATTTAATCTACTGCTTCATGCTGATGGACAGACATAGTAAGCATAGTCTCTAGAAGCCTCTTTGATGGTAGCTGAAAGGCACTTTAACATTTGGATATCACTCTTTCTGCTTGGTGATGATATAATTTTGGGGCCCATGTATCTAACAATCAGAGCTTATTCTGCATGGTTTCCAGCTAGAGATCCCTGTCGCCCTGAGAGGCATGTCTGTGATTTCTGCAGTGTGGTCCAGCACCACTCCAATGTCCAAGAGGAACTAAACAACCACCAGAAGGTGGAGGAGATCCAGACCCTCATTTCTTAATGTTTTCAGTGGGGCAATTGTGGGAATACCTGCTTGCTTATTTCAACACGGAACATTTGTCCAGCCAGGAAATGGAGCTGCTTATTCAAAGGACTGTTATGGATCATTGAATAAGTTGATGATCACATTACAGTCACAGTATCAGTGAATTGTCCTCATATTCTTTGTGGATGCCCCATCCCTGGAGGGGTTCAAGGCCAGGCTGGATGAGGCTTTGGGCAACCTGAGCTAGTGGGAGGTCTCCCGGCGCATGGCAGGGGGGTGCAATGAGATGATCTTTAAGGTCCCTTCCAACCCAAACCATTCTGTGATTCTATGATTCTAGTCTGTGTTATTACATGAAAAAAAAAAAAAAGAAAATTAGGTGGTTTTTTTAAAAATTAAATGAACCATCTGCCATTTTAAGGTGTAAGAGATGTCAGATATTTCTTAAATAAGGCTACGGGAGGGAAGTAGCCCACAGAAAACAGATGTATTTGACCCATCAGGATGGTAACACAACTGAGAAAGGCCATGGGAAGTGCAGAGATAAAGGCACCTGCCCTAGCCTGCAGATGTCATTGGCTCGTACGGAGAAACTGGCACCAGAGGTATCCTCCAATGAGATGGGGACAGAGGGTGGATAAATTATTTATCTTGAGTCTACCAGGGATTAAAGCCGGGGGTCTGGCCTGGCCGTGCCTCCCTTTATTGGGATCTCTTTGCTTGCTCAGAGCCACGTCTGGCAGTGCTTCCAGCACCAAATCCTGCTCCTTTGCCTGGCTTCATCCCCAGTCCTGCCTCCTCCTTGTCCCCAAAGGTGCAATATTGGCTCCTGGCCATGTCGGAGGTGAGGAGAGATGAAACCCAGGCCACTGCAGTTTTTTCAAGAGCTTCTATGCCTGGACAATCGGAGTGCAGGACGCAGATGAGTCCTGCTCCTCGTTGGGTTGCTGGAGCCAATCCTGGGATCAGCGTTGCAACATTGGCCACGCTCCCAGAGCAGAGGAGGCCAATCACAGCCCACTCCCATCCCCACCAGCCATCCATGTCGCTGCACTCACCACAGGCTGACGATGCTCAGAAGACAAGGTCCTGTTACGGCTACCAATAGCCAGTGCCATTCCCGCACCAAGTAGGCTACCGTGGCCAGCAGCATGTTCCCGATGCTCCAGAAGATGCTGGTCAGGACGCCAGAGAAGGTGCGGTGCTGGATGTCCACCCACTCCATCCCTGCAAGAGGGAGGCAGCGTTCAGCTGGGACACAGAGGACTTCTCCAGGAACGGGTCTGCAGGGCTTTCTAAGAAGGGCAAAGCGAGGTGACATCCCTGGTCTGCTCCTCCAGGAGAGTTCCATTCTTTGGCTGACATCTGGCACATTTAAAATGTTCATCCATAACGTTTAACCTCTTGCAAAGCTGTAAGCAGCTTTTAAAAAAAAAGCCTTAAAAGAAGAAATACTGGACATATTGTAAGAAACTGCTAAAAACACCCTCGGTGATACTTTTTATTCCATTCAACAGTATTCAAATGGTCTTCTTCATCAAACAGATAATTTTTTTCCCCTAATGATCCTGCCTGCACAGTTTCCAATTTCTCTGCCCACTCATTATTCCAGATGAAAGAAATATATTAAGATGAGTTGTCGTTCATGTGGAATCTATCCAAAGCAGATCCTAATGCACATGCAAAGCTGGGTTAAGCTGAGACAGAATTAACTTTCTTCATAACAGCTAGCAAGAGGCTGTGTTTTGGGTTTGTGCTCAGAAGAAAGCTGGAAAGGGGAAAACCCTTTACCCCTTTAATTCTCTCCCCTGTCCTTGGGTGGGGGTTATTGGGTGAGCGGGTGTTTGTCAGCTGGCCCCCAGCCAAGGGCAAACCCATCACAAGAGCAGATGGTGGTCTCCTTGTCTCTGTGTGGGAACTAAAAGCCAGTTTTCCTCCAAAGATCTGGACATCCTGCTACAACCTCTAACAACCAGAAATGTCCCTCCCAAGCTCTGCTTTGCCTTGCAGCCATCAACCTTTATAACAGTAAAAAAACATAGCAGGCCTTGGGATTTGTCAGGTCTTGTGTGGACTTTCCCAATATTGAAGCTTGATTTTGTCTGTATCTACAAAAACCTGGAAATTTTTGCTGCAGCTGTAACTTGCTCTTGGGTACAATCAGTCTTGCCTAGTATGCCCTAGCTGTATATACAAAAGTGCTCTGTTGGGTACCCTGAAGTCTGGTGCTTGTTTTTATTATATAATTACCTAAATTCCTCAGATTCAGTTTTGCCTAGCTCTGTATGATTTTTTTTTTTTTTTTGGTGGTTCTTTACCCCCCACTCTTTCTAAAAATACCAGTTGGGAACTTATGAAAACTGTGAGCAAGCTCAAGACTGGGGAGGTAGAAACACCCCACAAATGACACACTGTCCTCCTTCTGCTGAGGACACGGCAATGCTGATGAGTTGTCTTAACAGTGTGTTTGAAGGGTGAGAACTCAGTATCGGAGAAAGGGGACAGATACTTTGGTGTATGGCTTTTATCGTTCTACCGATGAGCCTTAACAGGAATTGGGTAGCATGGATTGCAAGTGTTGATGTTGCAACAGAAGTACTAGTAAGTGGTTGTTATATTTTGAGCAGACTGCTAAAGCATTAATTAGACCTACAGAAAATTGTAATTCTTGGGTCCTCCCAAGAGGGATGTTCTTTTGCCTGCTTGTGGTGAAATCACACACATAATGATTTCCAAACTCCTGCTCGTACTAGCTCTGCTCTGTCTGCTAGACAAGTCCCTACCTCCCCACTGCCTGTCAGAAGTCCCCTTGTACAGCCAGGCACCCACAAACCCCCACATACTTACCCAAAGGCAAAACAATAAGGGAGACGCCGCTCAGGGCCACCCCGGTGAGGGTCCGTGTGATGGCCAGCATGCTGTAGGAGACGGAGGCGGCGCTGAGCATCCCAAATATGACGGAGCACACCAGTGACAGCAGCAGCATGGCTTTCCGTCCAAACCTGCCCTGAGGAA